AACTGGTGTGGCCCCCAGTCACCCTGCTGTGCTGTGAAGCTTCAGGCCTTGCTCCTCCTATAAACGCATCTTGGGATCTGACCTCCCTCTACCCAGCGACTGCCATCAGCAAATCATTCTATGAGTGAACAAAGATGTCTTTAACAAAGCACACAAGATGCAGCTCATTTTGTAAAATGGCTCTTGTGAAAATTAGCTTTGGAGTACCAGAAATCATAATGACATGCTAATGCGGCGTGCAGAGGAACAAGAGTTCTCAGACCAAAGATCGGGGAGGTGAGTGGTGGAGACGAGAGCAGCTCCAGGCACTTGGGAGGCGGGTGAACCCAACCGTGAACCTGGCTGTGCCACCAGGTCTCTGTGGCCTCAGGGGAAGCCATGTGATCTCTCTGTGCCTGTGCTGATTCCTTTTTCATTGGAGAGGACGGATGACACCATTGTCCCCGACTAACTCTGAGGGTAACGTGGAATGACACACTCATACACGTTATAACATTTAACATTCAGAATGGGCTTGATAGCTTCTGTTACACCTGAGCTGCGTCTTTGGCCCACAGGCCACATGGTGTGCATTCAAAGTGGCTTTCAGTTTCCCAAGTTGAGGTTTGGCCCCTGGATTTAAGTCAGCTGTTCCCGACCCTGGGAAGCTGGGCCAGAGCCGCACTCAGCACAGTTCCAGCGTCAGCCCACCCCTCCGTGCTCTGTCTGGCCGAATGTTCAGGCCCAAGCACAGGCAGAATCTGCTGCATGCCTTCTGTCCCACCTGCCTCTCGCTGCTCCTCCCTTCCCCGTTGGTCACTCCCCTGGCAGGCCGGTGCCTTTGGCTTACTCCTCTAGTTTCTATGCTGGCAGAGCAACCTGGACACACATCGGGCACACACACACCTTTCTGCTGAGAAAAAAATGAAGACATTAATGGAGAAGGAGGTTGCTTCTTTTGGAAGGAGCAGTCATGGAGTTAACAATGGCCTTGCCAGGCCCTGCTGGCCCTCTGGTTTCTCACCTATAAGATAGGCAGAGGTTAGGGACCATGAGGGCTGAGTGTCCACAGAATTCTTGTGATCCTGGAATTCCAAGCCAGAGCCTGCGGAGACCTCGTGTGTGAGTGCTCCCGATGCCAGGGTCCTGCGCACCCTCTGGGCTTTGCCCGAGCTGCCTGGCCGTCACTTCCTGTTCAGGTAGAAGGAGTCATTCTCTGTGGACCTGCAGCCAGCAGCAGGCCAGGCCCTAGCTTGGAGAGAACCAAGGGGAGTTTGTGAGAAGGAATCAGGTGACAGAGTTAGCCACTGTAACTCATGATTTCTTGGGCAAATGACTTAAACTTTAGTGTGAAGGTTTCTCGTTTAGGAGGTTTGCCTCTATAGTCTTAATGTTTCCCTCTCACCTGTCCTTATCTGGTTTGGGTATCCAGGCGATATTTGCCAGATAAGTTGGGGAATGAGTATAGAAGCATCTGTGTGAAACTGGAATTGCAGTGGTCTCCCTTCTCTCTGGTTTTACTTCCCTGGTTTCAGCTGGGAGGAATCGGGTGACAACCAGGCCCAGGGAGTGAGCCTATGGTCAACCATGGTCCAAAATATTAAAGTGGCTTGGAACTTGATGTGGTTTCAGTCTCAGGGTGTGAAGGTCGAAGGTTGTTTCTCCCTGGGGTCCTGCTCTCTGACCCTCTTCTGTCGCCAGCCATCCATGGCTGTGTGTGAGCTGTGTGGTTGTGCATACGAGGGGACTGGTCCGGCGTCGCATGCTGATTGGGCTGTGCAACACAAATGTGCCTTTCCCCTCATTCTGCCTGTGATCCCATACAGCACCCGAGATGGATGTGACTTGCCAAGGTGTCGATCAATCTGCTGACCACAAGATGTCACCAAGCAAGACTCCACCTTTGAAATCCTACCTTTTGCCTTATGTGGGTGGAATATTCTATTGAATGTCTTCTCCCCAATAAATAGGGGGTTTTCAGGTGTGCTCACTCTCTTGCTCTTTCCAGCGCTGCCCAGCATGGAGCTGACCCACGGGGTCACCAAGCCGTCCTGTCCTCGTTCTCAGAAATTCATGTTCGTGGCTGTGTGGTTTCTTCGCCATTTTCTTAGTTATTGACACAGCCAGCTCCTTTGAACCCTGCTCATCTCCTCAGCTGGGCCAGCGGGTGACACTGCCCAGCAAACTGACAGAAGGAAACCATGTGAACCGGCTCCCAGACGAAGGAGTGACATCAGACATGGTTCCCCCTGCAGAGCACGTATCACCCCCAAATCACACTCTTCACATTTGATTGACTTCTCCTTTGTTTTGAGTCTCCTAATTGAAAAGGCAAATAGCAAATGCTGAAATAGCAAAGTCTCCCAGCATCCATCCCAGGGCCAAGTGTCACTCTGCAACTCCTCTGGTATTAGCTCCTGAAAGCAACAGGTGAAAGAGCCATCACTGTTGGCAGAGGCCACCTGCTTCCAGGCACATCTGGGGAAACTGAGGTCAGACGCAAGGAGATTCATTAGAGATTGAGAGTCTCCTTCAAGGTAGAGCCCGAACCAACCTCCCAAGCCCTGAGCTTGTTCTGGTGGAGCATGAGGTCCCCAAAGGAAGACGAGAAGATGCAAGAGGGAGGGGCCCATGCCTGGTCCCCGTGGGGGGGACTGGGCATCCTAGTGCTCTGAGCAGAGAAGGGATATCCTTGATTCTGAACCCGGCTTCACCTCCCTCTGTGGTTCCCGAGCCTTGCCTCCCGCGCCTGCACAGCCGCTGAGTGCAGACCATGAAGCCAGGGTGGGCACGGGCCGGTTTCACTGCCAGACCTCAGACTTCCTTACGGCAGAGATTTTGAAAATAGAAAAATGTTTCCCAAGAAGCTATTTTCCTGGGGTGGGATCAAATAGGAAATGTCTGTCGAGGATAGATCCCAAGCCTTGATCTTAGAGCCCCTGGGGCCCCAGACCCAGGGCTTGGGTGCTGGGATGACAGACTCCATTTCATCCAGCTCTTCCTTGGATCCTTTAGGGCCAATAACCAAAGCACAAAAGATCAACATGGTGACATTTTGGAATAAACCACTTTGGGCTCCAGGATGGCAGGGGCCCTTCAACAGTGTGGACAAGTTCAACAAACATGTCTACGTTCACAAATGTAGACAATTTTCCAGGGAAAGCCTCTAAATAGGTTTTAAAATCTATTTATTTCAAAATGGCAACAGCAGAGCATTGGCTTGAGTACACGTCCTTCTGTTTAAAAGTAGTTATTTATACAGAATCTGAAGTATTTGGCCTTGGGTAGGAGGCATGACCCAATCCCACCCCTCCTAATTCCTGTGCATCAGGACTTGCCACTGACACAGGCGTAGGCCATCCAGTACCAGGCCCCTCTGCCTGCCCCCATCCCAACTCTCAGAACAAAGCTCCCAGGAAGTCCAAGCCTGGGAAACACCTTACAACTTGCCAAGGACCCAATCTCCTCCTCCTCCTCCTCCCCCTCCTCTTCCTCTTCTGAAACTGAACCCAAATAAACTTTTTCTTACCTAAATTGTTCTTCAGGGGTTCTCATGACAGCAATGAAAGACACACACAGGGCACTCCTAGCATAAGTGGGTAGAGGCTGTTAACCTTTCTACCATGCATAAAACAAGAGCAAGTTTTTGCACACACCAGAAATAACGAGGATGGTGACAGGACTGCAAGCACTTAGAAACCACCGGCTCACTCCTCTCCCCAGCGGGGCCCACCCTGCACAGCCAGGGAGAGGTTAGAAACAGAGAAGACCAGGAAAGAGGCTGGTGGTGGGTTAATGGCACGGCGGGCACACCCGGGTACAGATGCCCAGCAGGCAGCACTGGAGATGGAGAGTGACAGGGCAGCTACAGGGAGAGCCCAGCTCCCAGGAGAGTGGAGTCCGAGGCCAGTGCGCTCCTCGGGATAGCTGCGCGGCATGAATGAGGGCGGCCAGCACCGGGGAAAGCTCTGGGGTGCCCTGACCTTTAGAGGAAGAAACGGAGTAACAGGCCCATTCAAAAATACGAAAAAAATGCCTAAAAAGTAGGAGGATAACCAGAAGATTGTGGCCTGAAGGAAGCAGGATAGCAGAGAATATCAAAGGCCTGAGTGAGCAGCCGCTTCAAAGGCGGCGGAGAGATGCGGTAAGATAAAGGCGGAAAGCTTTTTTAAGACACAGTTCATGAATCTTGCTCTCACCATGAGATAAAGTAGTGCATTGCAGCGAGCGGGTTGGGGAGTGTGGAGCCCAGGAAAGGCTCAGATAGCAGATCCGTATCCCTTCTACACCCACGCCGGCCCCGCTCCACCACCATGTCCATGACCGCCACTGAACATCTGCACCTGTCTGGCCTCCCATCTCCCTGTAAATGGAGCAGGGATACTAACCAGTGACTTGTGGGATTTTGTGTCCCTCAAGTGAGAGGGGACCTTAGAAGTGCGCTGAACTCTGCCCATCAGTTCTAGCACGCCAGCTGAGGCTAAGGTGGGCCACCCAGTGCAGGCCTGAACCGGGCTTTCACGGAAGCCCCTTTCCTCCTCTCCAGTGTGCACATCGCCAAGTACAAGCCTATGTCATTGTTCAAATTGTCCAAAACATAAGTGCTGAAGGGGACATGGTTTTAAAGCTATTGCCAGTCATTGTTCCTGCTCCAACTCCACCCTGGGCAGCAGAGGCCCTGGATGGGGCCTGCCTCTGCCTGCCACCCTCTGAGAGTGAGACTGAGAAAGTCTCCTTCACCATGACACCCTTCCCAGTGACCAGAGTGGCACCTCCAACCCTGTGCTGGATGGCGGGATCCTGGGATAAAGGGATGAGAGTGTGTGGGGAGCAGGGGATGAGGGCAAGGATGAATAAGGAGAGGCTCCTCTGCCCTGGGAGAGCTGGAGACGGTTCATGGTAAGGAAAGCAACGGACTCCAAAGGAAGAAAGGACTGGACGGGTAGAGGGTAGAAAAGAAGGTTTTGGAAGGCTCTAGAAAACACAGAGAAAAGGAAATGCGGGCACATGGATGACTATACCTGGGTTCTTTCCAGTCATCTTGAGGAAATCGTGGCATGGAGCACTTGCTGTGTGCCAAGGCCAGGGTGGGCATTTCCATTGTCGTTGGCGTGGAAAGGGCAAGAGCCCTAGAGACAGCCCAGATGGCAGGTGACTCGGTGGCTCGAGCTGTACTTGCCCCTTCCCTTCCCTTGGAGCCCAGTGACCTTGGGCAGCCGCTGGGCATCTCCAGGTCCTCAGCGGTTCTCTGTGGTTCTTCCTGGACATCGTGGGCGTGCACGCTGCTTTCCCAAGTCGGGAATCTCTTCCCCCAAGTCAGGTCCTCATGGCAGCCTGGAGACGGTGCAAAGCCTCAGCGCCTTGGCTCCTTCCTCTGCCTCTATTTTTATCCCTTCTCACTCTGTCATGCTCACAGGACGCTGCCTCTTGCTGTGGTGACAGACACGGGGCTGGGCTGGGAGCAGTCAGAGACAGATGGGGAAGGCCTGCTGGAAGGTCCTGGAGGAGGCTGCAGGACACAGGCTCTCCACACCACCACGCCCACCGGCTCCTCCCCCACCTGCACCAGCTCACCTGAAAGGCCCCCAAGGGAGCAAATGAGTCTGAAGCAGAGTAGGAAGTTATTTGGAAAAAATGCCTACATATTTGATCTCTTACTCCAAATATCAGCCTTCATTTGTCATTTCAAGGTAATATTTTAAAATCACTTAGAATTTTGTTCACCCAAGTTTATGCAGAAAGTGGATGCTCCGAGTATAATTCACCCTGAGTGTTTTGCTTCCTTTGAGTCAAGCACTGCTTGGAACATTTCCAGATTTCTGGGTGGAATTTGGACCTCAGGTTGGAAAATGTGAAACTTCTAAGTATGGAACAAGCCCGGGGACCAGAAACCCATCCTCTCTTTGTTTGTTCCCTTCATTTTCCGTGTGTCTTAATCAATATTCTCTCATTTCATTCTCCCAACGACCTGCAAGGACAGGGGGAGGAGCAGGGTGTTATTTCCATTTTGTGGGTGAGGGAACTGGGGTCCAGCAAGGTGACAGGATTTGGCTGTGGCCTCCCATGTTGCCATGGTGAATTCCACTCCAGAAGAGAAGATGTACATAGCTCTAAAGTGAGAAGCCATGTATGCGCTATGGCAGGGAGAAATCGAAGGCTCAAGGCTGTGGGGTGGGGGGACAGGTAGCACAGCCCGGGACATCACAGAAGGGCTGGGCTTCGGCTGCCACCCATCCACCAAGGGAAATTCAAGTCCAAACTGAACCAGCCAAACACAGAGCCAGTTGCTTAACTGACTGTCATAAAGACCACCCAAGGATAGTCTAAAAAACAGGTGAAGGCACAGAAAGGAAACGCTGGAGAGATCAAATGCACCATGAAGGATTTCCGCCCACCCTTCTGGACATAATCAAAGCAACCAGACAAGTAGTCGGCTGCTGCTCTTTCTGCACTTGGACGTCACTCAGGTGAGTGCTTACCTGACCCAAAGAGCATCATTAGTGATAAAGTCCCAGCCTCTGGCCTCCAGCCCTCCAAACCAGCCAGCAAGGCTTACTGGCCCTGGATGCCTGGCCACAGGTGCATGACAGTAGCCCTATTTGTGTGTGAGTTGCTTCTCTCTGCCTTCTGGGGCCTGGGGAGGAGCTTTTCCTAGGCATGGGAACTCCTTGGAGACAGAGGGAGTTATGGATGTGCAGCAGTTTTGATTAGTTAGCCCTATTTCCCAACAGTGTGTGGCTATGCCTCGGGAGGATAAATAAACACACTGGAAATTGAAGAGGGGCCAAAAGCCTGAAAGGAACTAACTCCTGCTGCAGAGCAGACTTGGAGGAGGCCTCCTCTCCTCCAGTCCTGAGGATGCCTCCCTCCCTGGGCTTGGAGGTCTCATTCACAAGCCACAGGGCTCCTTATCCTGCACACCCAGGGAGCCTACCCTCAGAACACTCAGGCGAAGAGAAGGCCCTGCCAGGGGCCCACATGGCCCTACAGATGAGCCCAGGCCCTGCCACATGGATGCCTGACAGCACCACACCACAGACGGTCCTGTCACTTCACAGGTGGCCCAGCTCCACAGTGAGCCCTGCCACTTGAGCTTGTGACCTAGCGACCCAGCGTACAGCCACATATGCTACAGACCCTGCGTCTTGGGCACTAGTGGCCATCTGCCCTCTACCTACTCGCAGACCTCTGAGACTTGGAGAGAAAGGTGCAGAGTCCACATTTCTTTTCCAGATTCCTGTAGCAGGACGGCCATGTGGGACTTACTTCTGGCTGATTCAACTTGGTCCCATCTTTAAGGAGCATGGGCAGATGAGGCTGCACCAGAAGAGACCTTGCCATCTTTCCCTCCCTCCGTGACCACTGAGGGACAGCAGCCACAGGAATAAAGCTTCAAGGAGGAAGACTTGGGTCCTCGTGGTCAGCTCTGGACAGCTACTTCCCAGCTACTTCTCCCAGTCTGGAGCACAGACGTTCCAGACCACGGTTCCTGCTGAGGGCAGTGAGGGAGGGATCTGTTCCAGGCCCCTGTCCTTGGAGTAGAGTCTTCACCCTGTGTCTTCACATGGTCTTGCTCTGAGTGTGCTGGGACCTAAGGACACCAGTCATCCTGGACCAGGGCTCACTCTGGTGACTTTGTTTTCATTTAATTACCTCTTCAAAGACCCTATCTTCAAATGGGGTCATTCTCTAAGGAACTTAGGGGTTAGGACTTTGGCATATGCACTTGGGGGGGGGACACAATTGAGCCTATACCATTATCTAAGAGGGCTTTCCACGCCTGGCTGCTGGCCCCACGGCCACTTACCATGCACCATCAGCAGAAGGTACCTACTGAGGGGCCGTTTGGTCAAGGATGGGCTATAGTTTCCAAGGACATTTCTGGCAGGTGCAGGCACTTGCAAAGAGCGCCAATACCAGCCTTGGGAGGAGAAGACCCCATGCGAAAGCAGCCTTGCTGGCCAGCAGCAAATGGTGCATGGTGAGCTGGCCCACAAGCAGACAACAGCATCTGTACCCCACGGGCACCTGGCAGAACCACATGCACTTTCCTGCTCTGTGCACATACCCATGATGGACCCCATCAATACGGCCTGGCATGGGCACAAATGCAGAGCAGTCGCTGTTGTTAACCCTCTTACCTGAAGGCAACTGCCTGTTCTGTGATCTATGCTGGGTGTCGCAACAGAGTGGGGGCCACAGCACAGGCCCTCAAGGTCCAGCGAGCTTCACTCCTCACTCATTTGCTCCATGACCTTCAAGTGCCCTCTTTCCTTATCTCTGAACAGAAAACACAATCACCAAATGCACCTTATTGTTTATTTTCAGGAATAAACAACGAGCATTGCTGGAACCTGGTCCAGTGCCTGGCATTTAGTGTTATTAAAGTGTCTCGATTTTTATTCTAGTCCCGACATTTCATCCAAACCGCAGGCCCAAGGTCACTCGCTGCCCTATTCACAGACCCCACCTATCCTTCTCAATATTCACTGGGCAAATTCAGCCACCAGTGTTCAGTAAGGACCAGTGGACACCGCACTGAGGCCAGGGCTGTGAGCTGAGCTGGTCCTGCATCCCTGGTCCTTGCCCTCCCTTGACTGTTGGAAGGATTCAATAAAGTGGACATTATAATAAGGGAGTTCTGTGAGAAGTGGAGGTGCTATGGCTGAGGTGTGGGCTAGGCCATCCTCCTCCTCATTGTTGGCAAAATGCTCTGCAAACCATAGGCTGCAGAGCCTATTTAAAGACTCGCTGTTCTTCCACTCTGTGGGTCCTGGTGTCACATGAGCAGTTCTGGGTGAGCCACTCTGGTGGGCCGCAGGGTGGACGGCAGTGTGATGGGTCAGGAGGCTGGGAGAGAGCAGGGGAGCCAGTGCTGGGGCCAGCCACCACACTAGGCCCTCAGCATGCATTTTTCATGGTGGAGAATTCAAGGGCTCACAGGAGTTCAGTTCTCCTGAGAGCTCCGCCTTGCGGCCCTTCACCAGTGCGGGGCACCACCCATCACCTCTATGGGTTAGGCTGTGAGAGGGAGTGACAGACCCCTCTAGGTGGTGGCATTGAGGTGTATAGAGGGGGATTCCAGCTGTCCTTTCCCTTCCCGGTGAGCTTCAAGGCCACACACTCCAGGAGACTGCTTTCAAAAGTGGAGGAGGGGGCTGGGGTTGTGGCTCAGCGGTGGAGCGCTCGCCTAGCAAGTGTGAGGCCCTGGATTCGATCCTCAGCACCACATAAAAATAAATAAAATAAAGGTATTGTGTCCAACTACAATTTAAAAAAAAAAAGTGGAGGAGGATGGCCTAGCCCACACCTCAGCCATAGCACAAGCCACAAGCACAGCCCTGAGCTGACCACCCACACGATGGGTTACAGCCTCCCACCTGTCCCCACCTCCACTTCCCGCAGAACTCCCTTATTATAATGTCCATCCACAGATCCCGGCTCTCCAGGGGCCTCCTTCCCTCAGCGGAAGGGCCATTGAGACTGAATGTACCATGCAGACGGCAGGGTGCGGGTGCAGCTGTGTAGTTCTAACTCTTCCCAGAGAAGGGCCTGAGACCTAGATTGATGCAAATAGGGAAGACTAACTTTTAATCTCAGACTTTAGCTGTGCCCTCCAAGTACAATAAATGCCCGATTTGGGTGACTTTGCTCTAGCCAAGTCGGCAGTGACACCAATGGTCTATTTTGATCCTTTCTACTTTCTTATTCTGATGTCAACTTGTTAGAAATCTAAATGGGAGAAGACCTGAGTGATTACCATGGAATTTGCGCAAAAAAAAAAGAAAAGAAAAGCAGATCACAGTAGGCATGTTAGAAAACTTTCTTTTAGTCAAGTCAGGCGATCAAAGTCCTTGTCCAAAGTTTAGCTTACAGAAAATGTATAACCAAACCCATGTGGCCATCTATTAGCACATCTATAGGATCGAGGTACCCTAAGGATACTGCACCCTGAAGTGGTAATAGAGGCCTGTGCAGCTCAGCCTCTCCTCCCCTCTTCTCTGGGGCTCTGGTTACAGTCTTGAGAGACAGTGGTGCAATTTAACTATCACAATAGGATGACAGAGTTAGAGCAAGTGTTCCTATTAGGAATTGTAACCAGGGGAGGGAAGCAGCTCGGGACAGAGCAAAGAGAGAGGGCTCAGCTGCAGTAGCCTCAGTCAGAGCCACTGTGGCCTGTCCCTCTCTGTGGCAAGAGTGCCATCATCCCACCGTGGAACTGGCCAGTCCCTGGCTTATGGACACTGGTGCAGGAAGGATCGTGACTTCCTGAATATATCTGGGCCATCAACTCTCATAGACCAAGGGAACAATGTAGCATGAGCTGTGAGCAGACAAACATCTCAGGGGCCTGTGAAATGGGCAGGACGTCAAAG